TCCGGGAGCGGGGATCACGGGACAGCGTCGACAGCAGAGTGTAGGGGTATTCCTCTTGCAGGCGAGACAGGAGCAAGGTCGTGAATCCGCCGCCACAGGCACCTTGAGCCACCCAAACGTTCCAACCAGTCAACATACGTTGTAGCACCACATTCTCGGCATTGGTGAGGTGAGGTACCTGCAACATCGTGGAAGAGCTGGAAGGCTTGGAGCGTGTCGGCGCGCTCGGCCTCCCGCCTGACCAGGTCCAGCACGTCGTCGAGGGACTCGGCGCCCTCCAAGTAGTGGCCTTGCGGCCAGCAGCCGTATAGTGTTTTGTCGGTCGTGTGGAAGCAGCTGAGCATGGTGGAAGTGGGACGGCAACCATCGTAAGCACTACCACCACACGCACAGCACCACAACCTCGCACTCCTGCTGCCCTCCCCACCCGCCAAACGCACTTTGACCGGTCGAACAGAACACTGGAGGGATGCTTCGAGGTTCCCCAGCCCTGGTTCTCCAGATCGGCGAAGACAGCGCGGGCCACCACCGACTGATCGGACCGGCCTGTGCGAGAACGCGCACATCACAGGAAACGAGGTCTTAGGCGAACGCATCATCAGCATCACCATTATACTCGCTACGCCTCACGTACCGGGATCTGACTCCCTGAAGTGCGAGCCGAGACCGTAGAGCGCGCGTGGTGGTATCTTGTGATTGAGCGTCAGGCCACCGGTTCCCGATGTCGCTGCGGCCGAGGGAACCAGCAGGTCGTGCTCGAGCGCCACCTGCTCCAGGTACGACGCCAGCAGCGCCTCGCCTGCAAAGATACAATAAAATAAAATAAAATGGCAATAATTCCATAATAGAAATAAATAAATAAATACGAATAAAAAGAAGAAATCAAGTATTGCAAGGGCGCGCACCGATGATGCCGGTGCTGATTTGGATGAGGGGCGATGGACCCAAGGGGCCAACGTTGCGCACAGGCTGCTGCCAGCGCTGGCGAGACAGGAGGCGCCATTGGTGGGCGATGGCGGCAGTGCGCAGGGGCGCAAAGGGCGGCGGTGCCGTGCTGGCCACGGCTCCGGTGTTCGCCTCTAGCGCAGTCTCGCTGCCCAGGGCGAGGGCGCAAAAGGTGCGGCACACCTGGGCGAGCCGCACGACGTCCGCCAGCGGTCCGAACTCCAACTGCTGCAACACGTGCCACCACACCTCCGCCGGAAGCAGCTCCAGCGCATACTTCGCCGGCACCACCTCTTCCCTCCGCCATCATATAATGAAAATAAGTAAATTAATAAATTAAACAAATACACAACAATATTTGTTTTTATTTGGCGAGGCCGAGAGCGCCGCTGCCATCGCCGCTACCGCAAAAACCCGTGAGATCCTAGCAGTCGAGCTCGACGCTTCGAAATGCGCGTCCAGGCCACAGGTGTTTGCGTTTGCGTCTCGCCGTCGTCGCCAGAGTCCCACGATCGGATTAGCGCAGCGTGCTCGGCGGTGACCACTTGACACGCGCTCGCGCCTTCGTGACATCGTCAGGCCTTGCCGAGCCGCCAACTTGATGACAAGCCAAGTTGAGTCGAGTCGGGCTTGCACCACGTCTGCTCGTCGGACCAAGTTTGTGTGTCGAGCCAAGTTTGTGCTGGAGGCTTGTTGCGACGACGGGCACGCTGCGCAAAATAGTGCTCGCGGCGAGTGCGCGACGGCATCCCGCAGCAGGCATCAGTCCAAACGCGGCTCGATGCAAGCTCGACTTGGCTCTCGGTCCAACACAAACTTGGTCTGACGCAAACCTGGCGCAAGCGCGACCCTACCAGAGGTGGTCCGGTTGTCGTCCCTGTACTGGGGTCGTCGTCGGGCTCCGTGGTCTTGGGGGGCGTGTTCGGCTGTGTTGCAGCTTTTGGTCACGCGCTTTGCTGAGCCTGCTCCATGGCAAGCCGCGGTTGGAGCTCAACACAAACTCGGTCCGACGCACACCTGGCGCTAACAAACGAGGGCTTAGTGTCTTGCCGACTCATCCGACACAAACGCGACACGACTTGCGCCTTGCGCATAGCGACCTGCGAATTGCGACTTGCGAATTGCGATCTGTGGCGAATTGCGACTTACGAATTGCGACTTGCGACCTGCGGACTGTAGTTGTTCAGCGAAGCTTTTGGCCGCGTGTACACCGGGAGTTCTCCGGTTTATTGGGACCTGGCGATGCGGCTGTAGAGGGGGAGGAGGAGGTGCTGATACAAGTACGACGCCCGGCCCATGGCATCGGCAGCGTGGGCCATCAGGTCCACCTCGGCGAGAAACGGGAACAGCTCGGCGCGGCACCAGTCGAGCAGCGCGTTGATTACCTGCAGCTGGTCCACTTGGCTGCCACACGACGATTCCACCGCGGTTGAGGATCCGTCGTTGCCTTGGCGCTCGATGGCGCGCTGCAGGTGGACCCTCTTCCTCTTGAGGTTCTTCTCCACGAGAGTGCTCATCTCGGCACCGCTGGCCGACGCCAGGACCGTGTAGGGTACTTCGGCCAGCTCGAAGACGAACGGCGTTGGCAGCCTGTGCCACGCCAGGTTGAGCCGCTCGTCAGTCGTCCGCTTCTCCATGTTACTCGCCGGGGACGGTTGCTCGCCGTTGGACAGGTGCTTGTCGGTCATGGCGCGTATTCTCGCCCACTCCTGCTGCTCCTGGTCGAGCCGCGTCCGGTCGTCGTCCTCGGCACGCCGTTTCTCCTCGTCCTGCAGGTGTCCGGCTTCCGGGACGTCGCAAGGCTCACCAGGGGTGACCGTGGGGTTCGCTCTCAGCTCGTGCTGATGACCCCTGCTCCGACTCGTCCTCCCGCCGTCTCCGTTTGTCACGGCTGGATCCCTGGTGGTGGTGATGGGCTGGCCGCGCGTGCGACGAATGGGTGAAGTGGTCTGTCCTCTCTCTCGAACGCTTCCTGCCGCGAGCCGCGTCTGACGTCGTCCCCATGTGCTTGTTGTGCTTGTGCTCTTGAGAATAGTCGCGTGTCAGACTTGATCTTGATTGGTGCCAGTTTCGCCATGGCTTGTAGTGAGTGTGTTGGTGAGTGTGCTGGTGAGAGTGATGACGCTTGGCTTCTGCACGACAGTGCGTGTCTCTGGGCCGATAGGGTCGGTTGTTGTGACTCCTCTTGTCGGAGGACCTCCCCCAACCTTGTCGCACGTCGTTGCGCTGATTCTCTGGGCCGCGAGCCCATGACTGGCGCTTGGTTGGCCTGTCTGTGGTAAGAAGTGGGCTGGTCCGTCAGGCTGCCATGCCTCTCAGGAAGAAAGCGCACTGGAGGAACGGTGTACCCTCTTGTGCGTGACTGGCCGGGATCGCCGGCTGGCCTGGTGGACCCCCCCGCTGGTATGATGGTTGTTGTGGACCAAACGTGAAGCTCTGACGCTCAGGCTGAGGTGGCTCGTACGATGGCAAATCCGGATGAAACTCTTCGCCAGACTGGATCTCCTCGCCCTGCTGCCCGTTGGAAGCGAATCCGCGCTTGGTAAGGTGATGCAGGCTTGGGGAGTGAAGAGAGATGGCGGTGCAGAAGGTGTGTACCAAACGAGAGGAAAGAGTGGTTCCTGGTCTCCTCGGCTCTGTCGCCTGATGTTGTTTGTTGTGGGTGTCCTGATGGCTGGCGCTGGAGGTGGTGGGCTGATCGTTGGCGCTTCTCTTCCAGTGCTGGTCTGTATGATCTTCCTCGTCTTCGAGGTCGCCCAAGAGCTCTCTGATGTCCATCTTGGACCACTCCATCCAGCGTTCTCTCCCCGCTCCCTCAGCGCTCACCGCGTCTTCCCTATCATCATCAACCCTTGAGTCGGATCGGTCACTTGGTGTGGGGTCAGGGGAAGAGCACCAAGGATCAGGAGGCGGGAGGACGCCATCCTCCGGCCCGGGGATCGCGGTGGCAAGGTGGGTCGCGATGAGCTCCTCCACAGCATTACTGTCCTCCTGATTGGCAATGAGCACAGTTAGGACTTCACCCCATCACTACACAGAGAAACCAGTACCTCCGGGCAGTCTGGCACCATAGGCATGAGGAGGTCAGGCTTGTCAGTGCTGGCGGTGACAGCGCAGATGTCATCTGGCGTGGACTCAATGAGCCGCATGTAGGCTGACTTGACGCAGGCCAGCAGGTCTCAATCATGTCAGCACTGACCCCTCCATGGCCTCCATTGGTGGCAGTGATGGACTGAAGGTAGTGTGCTACCTTGTCAGCCACATGGTCCTGCTGCCCACCAATGGGTGGTCGTCATGTGGCAGCATGTCAAGGTTATCAGGTGTGGCATTGTCCTCCTTTGCGCCCAGGAGTGCTGCAGCGTTCTGGGCTGCCAGTCCCACGTGTGAGGTGCTTGGCCCAGAGGTGAGAGGACCTTCTTGATGAGCAGCCAGTGATGGTGGTGAGGCCTCAGCTTCATCATTCTTCACCTTCTTGCACTTGCTCTGGTTGACGTTGTGGTTTAGCTTGTAGCCCTTGAAGGTGGCCAGACTGAGTCCCTGCCTCATATGTGAGCACAGTGTGTGCTTCAACTTGACCTTCCATGCAGTCTGAAGGAGAAGAGGGAGAGGGGAAAATGTATGAGGCTGTCCCTGTCCCAGGGCCAAGGATTGGCGCAGGGCTTCTTCTGCCGCAGTAGGCTTGGGTTGAGCAGCGCCTGGCAAGCCCAGCAGCAGAGCTGCTTCTTCTCTTGGGCTGTCCACTGTGGGTGGTGCGCACACTTGGCGTAGCGCAGACTCCTTGGTTTGGCCACGACAGGGGAAGAAGGAGGGAGCCCATGGTTGGCTGGTGCCTCCTTCTCCATCTTCTTGGTGTTTGATGCTTCTGCTGCACAGAAAGGCGCGATGTGGGTCGTCTGGTAACATGGTCTTTTAAATTGGCCCTATATTTAGCGCAGGGCAACGCCAACCTGGCGCGTTTTTGGCGCTAATGTTGGAGCTCCTGCGCACTGAGGTACAGGAGGACGCTTGATGACAGTCAGCTGGAGGATGAAGAGGTGAGCGCTGGCTGTAGATCCTGCAGTGGGGTTGGGCGCGGCAACGACGGCGAGTCGTGTTGGGGCTCCAAGTCCTCGGGCGCAGGGTTGCACCACGCGGCGAAGGCAAAGACCACCCTACTTTTGCAGGCAAAGGCGATGTAAGCAGGTGCGCCGTGCTCGTGGTGTCAGTCTCCGATCTCGTCAACCTCACCCTCACGCCAACGTCAACCAAGCTGACAATGCGTGTGCGCAGTGCGTGGCATGGAGTTCAGCCAAGAGCTGGCTCGAGGTGCGAAAGACCATCAGGCCAACCTTCCAGTGCTCATCTGGTCTCCTCCACACCAACAGATTCATCATCCCAAGGCACCAACACATCAACAGTGACGATGTGGCAGCTGGAGGGCCTGTGGTGGAGAGGTCTTTGGCGTGTGGCTGGTGGACGTGGCGGAGCTTGATGGTGAGGGCTGCATGGGCACTGAGTGGGTGACAGCTAACCTTGTTGTCATCATTGCTGTTGTTGTCATTGTCATTGAGCCTGGTGCTGTCATTTGGTTACTTCAACAAGTCTCTCATGTATGACCCTGGTAAGTGTCATCCCTCTTGGTTGCAGTTCTTACTTGCGCCATTCCTCCTGGTGTGGTGGTGGAGTCTGTTGTTGATGGCAACGGTGCTGATGATGATGATGATCAGATAGACTTTGATCTGCTGTTGGGTGGAGATCATGAGAGCGGCAGCAACATTGGCCTCATCATGGGCGTCTCAGTGGCAGTGCCAGTGGCCATTGCAGTGGTGGTGCTTGTCATAGTGGAGTGCTATTGGTGGTATCTCATGCCACCACCAACAGTCAAAGCTCATTGTCAGGTTTTCATGTGGCAAGCTTTGATGCAACTGACACTACCTCTCACATGTATCTAATCTCTCTCTACTTCACTTGCATTTGCATGTAATAGAAAGATCACACAAGCTTGTAGACTACTGTTCCTTCATGGCCACAAGGCTGTTGTGTATGGTTGTCTCAAAGTCCTTGGGCTCCCACCCCAGCAGGTCATGCAGGTGTGAGTTGATGATGTTGGTCTTGGATTGGTGGATGCCCTTGAAGGAGTTGGCCCACAGCCACGCCCAGTCCCCTGTCCTGTAGTTGAGTCCTGACTTGACCTGTGGCTGTTACACATAGTGTTTGATGCTTGTCTCCACAATCTTGATCAGCTTGCTGAGGATGCATGAGAAGATGTCAGCCATCTCACTGAGCGTGTAGGCACATGGACCAGAGAGGATGATGATCTTGTTGAGCCAGGGGAATGATGTGGGATCCTCAATGTACCAGATGATGAGACATGCTGTCACCTCACTCAGGTTGTCCTGCTTGGCCCATGAGATGCCAGGACCAGAGCCATTGTGGGGGATTCAGATCTCACCTGAGGTGGGTTGTTGATGTCAAAGAAGGCAGTGTAGATGGGATAGCTCTCTGAGTACAGGCCCTCCCTCACAGTGGTGTAGGAGAAGGTGGTGGGGTTCTTCTGCTGGACCTGGTCAAGATACTGTTCAGTCAAGAGATGTGCCGCCATGACCTGCATGACAGACATCAGGTTGCTGTTGCTGGCAAAGGTGAGGGAAGAGTAGGAGATGTGCCTGACTCCTGCCTTGATTGCCTCATCAATCACCACTTTAGCAAATTGCCTGGTGAGGCCATGCGCCAGTGACATGACTCCTTAGAAAAAAACCCATGTTGCCAAGTCTTGAATCTAAATGCACCTCCCCCCCCCATTAGAGTGCTACATGTATCCTTTAATCCAATGACCACATCTTGAGCTCATATGCAATGTCCATTGGCACATTGCTCAACAGTGATGAAAGAACACACAGATCAATCACATCACCCATGGCTGTGTATGATTCCACTGTTTCATCACTGAGCACAACAATTGCATACTCGTCCCACAGCCTGTACTCATCCTTGCTGTTGGTAATGTCTCTGCATGTAAAATGGGACTCCTTGAGTTTCTGGTCAATCTCCTCACCTGTGTAGTTGGTGTCCATGGCAATGTTGATGGCCTTCATCAGATCCTAGCAGTTGGAGCCCTCCTCTCCTAGTATGATGCACTTGACGCTGTAATGGGAGGCCAGTTGCTCTCTCAGCCACTCACACAGGGTCTTGCTGTCATGCTGACTGTTGAACTCATCCTTGACCATGTCCCATTCCATGGTAATGTAGAAGACAATCCTGGTGTAATTACTGAAGCCCAATTTGTTTGTTCTTGTTAGTGGTTCTCTTGGGGTTGCTGTTGGTGTGATCACACATTGCACAGCTTTTTATGCCTTGGTATGAGATGTGGCGCAGGTGTTGTGACAGAGACCCAGAGCCAATCCACTTGAAGTTGCAACAGAAGAGAATCCCAAAGGTGGATTGAATACTTCAAGAAATTTCCCTTGTTTATATAGTTTTCACTCTTTTATAACAGACATGCAAGTAATCGCCACTTTCATGCTCTTGTAAACCATGCATTTCAAGTGTTGTCCTGGCTTCATTGCTTCCAGTTCAGCCATGGTCAGTGGACTGTACTGAACATTCACATATGTCTGCCAATGACTATAGCAGTCATTGGCCTCTTTACAGAGTTCTGTTCTCTCCTGTTGGCCTTCATTGCTCCATTCTCTGTATTCTTCTGAAAGATAATGCAGAAATGACTTCAAATCTGTGAATACCTGATTAACATCACTGTAAGTCTCCTCATATTGATTCTTCTCCTGTGCAAACCAACCTTTGGAATCAGCCATGGCGTGTGTGAGTTGTTTAACAAATTAGTTAGTGGTGTTCAAAACTATCTATCTAATCTAATCTAACTATCAGGACAGAACAACATCCATAGTCTTTCACAACTACGTTTTGTTTTTGGAGCTCCATCATCTTAACATGATAAACACATCACAAAAACCCTAAACCCTAAACCCCTAAACCCTGACCCTAACTGGGCAGCTTGTGGGGACACACAACAAACTGTGTTGCTCTGGCAACGCTGAGCAAGGCCCTGTCCCCCATGTATGTGACCAATGAAAACTGTAGTTGTTCAGCCAGAACAATGCAGTTTGTTGCAACCACAATAAACACCCCTTTTTTCTCATGTGGTGGTTAGCTGACATGTTGCCAGTGCAGCCAGTGCTGTTGAGGCACATGGTTAGTGTGGCCTTCCCTTTTCTGACCTCATAGCACAGTTTTGGGCATGGCTTTCCCTTTTCACACTATGAGGAGGCTGGTGGACTGCCAGTTAGGCGGTCCTCCAGCCATGTCACATGAGCACAGCATAGGGAGACTATTCTTTTCTAGTCTCCCAGAGTGTGCTCACACATCCCACCCTCTCTGTTCCTGCCCAGCATAGGGTTTGGTTCTTCTTTCTTGCTTTGTCTCTGCCCATGTCTCAGGTTTGGGTTCTCAGAGTTCAAGGGTATGGAGGAGGCAGGAGCAGCTTGTGATAGGAGAGGAGAGGTTGGATAGGTGGACGTTCTGGGCTGTTTTGAGACGTTTTTGCATATATGCACTCCTGTTAGTATGCATTTGGGACGTTTATTGTGGGAGCACCACAATCCTTGTTCACGCGCATTTTTACGGAGCTTTTGGCAGTGTTAGTGAATTTAGGAGGAATTCAAAAACTTTTTCATATCTCTTTTTCAGTAAGGCTTGGTGGGGGGAAGGTTTAGAGCGCTTACGAAAGTTCGGTGATGGAGGAGGGGTGCAAGGTGATCGTTGACATCAACGCGCTGGTGGAGCAGCGCATGCTGGCCCGCTGGCGCACCCTGCTGCCACGAGCGCCCCCCACGCCGCCCATGGCACCTGTTGAGTGGGACACGTCGTACAGCGACGTGCCACGAGGCATGACAGAGGAGGAGACCCACCACGACGACGATGAAGAAAAGGAGCTGCTGCTCATGCTGCTGGTCGATTCTTGCACTACTACCTCCGTGTTGCCGCAGACAGTGAAGGAGACATGGTCTCTCGCGGTGGTGGAGCGCTGCACCTGGAGGCCGTGTGCTTGAGCGACTGGGTGTTTGCGTCGAGCGGACCCCACGCCTGCCTCTCCTTCCTCGACCCCCATCATGAGCACGACCACGACAATGACGTCGACGCAGTGGACAAGCAGGCGCTGTTCGCCTGGCTTGGACGGACCCTCGTGAGCGTCAACAGCAAGCGCGTGTGGCAGGACCTTCACGCAGCAGGAGGCTCCCACAGGATTGCGAGCCAGTTGGTCGCGCGGCTGTGGCAGGCCTTGAGTCTGCTGGCGCAAACCGTCCAAGCCCACGCTCACGAAAGCCGCACCAGAGGAAGAGTCGAGGACACGGAACAAACCGCGCTGGTGCTGATCGAATGCCTGCACTTCCTCTGTACGTCTTGCGTTTCTCGCTTTGATGACTCCGATGTGTGGTGTGGTGTGGTGTGTGTGTGTTGGGTATGGAAGTTCCCTCGACTTACGCGGCTATTGGATGGCCTCCAGCACAGCAGGCATATTGTCGAGTCTACACGGCCTCGACCATCACAGCGGGTACACCGGTGGTGAGATTGCAAGTGGTCTTTTAGAACAAGTGGTGCAGCTCAGTGCCAATGTGGCCGTCGGTGCGTACGCGTATGTGTGCGGCCACATTTGCCTCATCTTTAATAACCATGGTGTACCGTGACTGCAGATGGTTGCATGGAGCTAGTGGTGAGGAACGCCGCACTACGTTGCCTCCTTGCGTGGCTGCGCGACCACGCCATTGGTGCTTCTCCAGACGACAGAGCACAAATACACAATCATGTACGTCACACAAGCATGCGCGTGTGCACACATACACGCTCACATCGCGCTGGCATGATTGCTTTTTAACTACACGATCGTTTGGCAGATCAAGGAGCTGCTATCGCTGGCAGAGCCTCATGAGCCAGCGGTGATACGCTGTCTGATCTTGCAGGCGCTGCCAAGGGTGTGTCTGCCGACCGATTACCGCGACTTGGTTTATGCCAATACCTCGAACCTCTTGCCTGTAGAGTACACAAACGTTGCGCTTGCTGCTGCCACCGTACGTTCCTCTTCACACCAATGGCGTGATAACGAGTCTTAGTAGTGTTGTGAGACTATGTGATTTGAAACTCAGCCATTGGCCATGATGATAGTGCTCAGATGAAAGGATTGCCATAGCTGCCACGCTTGGCATTGAACACTTGGCCATCTGTCGTGATACACAATCCTACACATATCCTGTAGACGCGCTTATGTCACAGTACCACACTCAATCTTTAGCATGCTTTGCTCTCTGCGTAAGTAAGATCTGACGCAACAGTGTCAGCTGGCATGTGTTGGTGGACAATGTCGTGCGACCAGGCGATAACGTGCACAGTCTGCTCCGCATGGCCGCCAAGCAGGTGGCACAGTCTATCAGTCGTGGCGATCCAACAAGCTCTGAATGGAGATGCCTGCCGGATGAGCTGGCAGAAGTGGTGGACACATTCTTGCGGAAGGAGAGGGAGAAGAGGCAAACCTACGCTACCCGTACGAGAGTCCCGTGTGCGCGCAGATTGATGAGAGTGAGTTATATTGATGGAGTTCATGTGCAGAGACGAAGAAGGTTTGGACACTACGCACAGCGAGCATCAGGGCTCTAACAGCGATCTGCAATGTCTGCGTGCTGGATAAGAATGCCTATGCACTGTTGGAGTCAAAGATGAACAACGAGCAGTGGCAGAACCGGTAAGCCGAGAAGCAGCATCTCCCCGTCAGCAGCAGTGGCAGCAAGCTGATTCACTGACAAGTGGCGTGCATGCGGTCCCACCCTAAAGCGAGGCAGGACTACTGGTGCTGCACTGCGTCATTGGTGCTTTGGTGGTGGTGGGTCCGCAGGGCGTGGGATTCAACGGCTCAGAACAGCACACTGAGCTATGGCGGCTCACTGTGACCCTCCTCACCGACCCACGGGTTCGCCCGTGCACGTATGATGCTCATCTGACTTGGCTCGCAGCTGTTAATTCGTGCAACGCATTGGTGTGTGTATGTTTTGTGTGCCAGGCCAAGGTGCAGAAAGCTGCGGCACACGCGCTGATCTCCATCGCTCCCTTCCTACCACGTGTCCTGCGCAAAAGCGCTGCAGAGCAACTGGTGCTGGTGCTGCTCTACGACGCCAAGACATCCACTCGTCGCAAGGCTTTCTTGGCACTCAATGCTTGGAGTTGGACTTCGCAACCTAAATGGCATGCCAATGTCTTGGAGGCGTGTGGGCAACATCAGCAGTCGCTGCTGGATGGACTAAGTCCATCGGTGCGTGAACTGGGTTTGTTGGTACATTCTCATCCCATTCTCATCACATGCCTGTGGACTGACTGTGGACATGTCTGTATGTGTTGCGAGCGCGCCATCAGACTGGCGCCTGTGATCAGTCGAGATGGCTCATGCTGCTGCATGTCATGGCCAACAGTGCCATCGCACTTATGAAAAAGAGGGCCATATGTAATGGCCGACAGGACGTGGTGATGAGGACCATTTCAGTGCTGCAACAATCGCTTGAAGCCGTGCGTCACCATGCTGATGATGATGGCGACGACGACAAGGAAGAAGAAGAAGAAGAAGCCAGGACCATGCACGCTGAAGCGTTGACGCAAATGCTTCGGGCCATCAGCATGGCCATCGTGGATGACAGTACGCGTGCGCACGAGTGGTTCATGCACGTGGTCTGATGATCAGTGCTGAGCAGCTGACATAAAGCGGGGCGGTGACGATGAACAGCTGAGCGGCATGGCGACAGCATGGACGTTGCTACGATTGCCAAGGTGGAAGAGAAAGAGGTCTGATAAGGCAAAGGCTGCGACGACGGCCTGTAAACAGGTATGAATGCGCATAGAGCACGCAGTGCGACGCGGTTGTGGTCCTCACACAGTGTGGGTGGTGCGACCAGCTTGAGCTGGTGCTGGCAAGTGTTGGCAATCTAGTGAAATGCCGAGACAAGACACGCCACCCAATACATGTGAGCTCTGACCAGGCAGCCAGGTTGGTCGCATGTGCCTTTCAGTTGGATGAAGACGTTCTTTCCCCCAACATGACCATGCACACAATGCTCGTCACACAGAAACTGATTGAGAACCAACACATTGGTTTGTGTTCACACAGACCTCAGTGGATGCACGTTGCCCAAAGACCGTGCTCAATCTGGTGCTGTCCATGATCAAGCAGCAGCGCCAAATCGTTGCGGAGGCCGTGGTGGCCTCATTGCCAGCCATTGTCGCACACATCAGTGCCCTCTCACGCAAGCGTTGGATGGGCAAGGACACAGTCCGGCTTGTCTTCCTCTGCATTGTCGATCAGATACTCGTGCATCTGCTGAGCAAACATCTTGCGCTCGAGGGTGTCGAGGAAGATGTAGTTGATGAGCAGGAGCATGTTGTCGATGTTACCGGGCTGGGCGAGCGTGGCAGGGTTGTTGGCCTCACCCGAGCGCACGATGAGCTGGCTCATGTCGCGGGTCTTGATGTTGATCTTCACCTCATGGTACTGGAGGGCGATGAGGGGCAGGGCCTGCGAGTAATCGCGGTTGAACCAGAAGCGGAGGGGCACGTACAAGTACTGGGTGCGCTGACCGTACTCGATCAGCTGGCCACTGGACTCGGCGTAGCCGACCATCTCGGCGAGGCGCTTGGAGGCGCTCGCGGAGAGGCGCTCCCAGATCTCGAGGAACTCGCCCGAGCAGCGATCCATGTCCTGACCACCGATGGAGACGGCGACCTGCTCGATGAGCGCATGGCCCACCGAGTTGGTGTAGTGAGCGACGTTGTTCACAAAGCCATCGTTCACCATCGAGGAGTTGTACTGGATGGGCGAGAGCTCGGCGTAGAAATAGACCTGTGAGATGAGATCGCCAGACCTGTTGATGGTGGCACTGAGGGTCTTGCCAGCACCGAAAGCACCCGAGAAGGTGTTCTCGATCTCCACCATCGCAAACATCGAGTGCCGCCTGTATGATCCCTTGAAGAAGGTGATCTGCGGGTCGATGGTGAGATAGCGGTTCTGCGGGCCTTGGGCCGAGAGCTGAGTGAGGGCTCCAGAGACAGGCATGGTGTGATTAGGGTGTTAGGGGGTTGACTACGACGCTTGGGTGCTTCGTCCTTATCATGTCACGCCACCAGAAAAAACGCCAGCTGGGTGGCGCGGTGTACGCGACAGCATGCGTTAGGGTTGTGTGTGTGTGCACGCATACACAACACTCGCGTGTGCAATAAATGATGGTGGTGCGCACCACGCGCGCAAGTGCGGCTGCGGCAGGAGGTGATGTGCGACACACCTCCACACGTCCTGCTCTTAAGACTGATGCTTTTTTTCTCAAAGCCAGCCCCTTTTTCATACCCCTAACCCTGCCCTACACAAACTGCATCACAACAGGACAGGTGGCATGGCGAGTAGTAACAAGGCGAATGTATGGGCATTGCGTCCGCAAATCCATGACGAGAACAGTGCGCCGCAAACGCCCGTGATGGGCGAGAACCTCTTCCTCAATAAACGCGAGGCCCAACGCAAGAGAGATCTCCTGGGTGGGGGCGACAAGATCGAGCTCTGTGGGTTCACCGCTCCGAACGCAGCTCGCATGTGGATCAAACGTCAGGACAAGCAGCAGCAGCAAAAAGTTGCAGTAAACAACAAGAGGAGGAGCAAGGCGGCTTCACATGGACGAGTCCAGCATACATTGCCAATGCTGATGTCGAACCTCTCATCGTCATGGTGGAAGGCTCGGTCTCGCGACTTCAAGAGGGCAAGATCGTGGCCGGCTACGAGGCGTGGTTTGACGGTAAGGATCTGTTCAATCAGGTCAAGCTTCCACCGCCTTCCAAGGATCGTGCCTCACTGTATGGGTGTTACGACGCACTTAGCCATTGCATCAACAAGTATGCCATTGGTGAACCTGACACCAAGAGGAATGTGATCCTAGTGATGGACAGTGAAGTGGTTTATTTGGCCCTCAACAATAAGAAGCTGCCAGCCAACTGTGTGGTACTGGGCAAGCGCCTGCGGGAGCTATGTCAAGAGCTGCCCGTGCACGTCGTCTATACGACTTACTCCTTTGCTCGTTCTCGAGAGGAAAACGGAGGCACCGGCAATGGCGTACAGTCGATCCAGGCTGGCTCTATCTAAAGGGTTGGTGCTTCTTTTTCTTCTTCCTCCCTTCCTTTTGCCTGGCTTCTTGGACCAACTTTGAGAATAGATCACTACTGTTTGTGTCGGTGTGTGGGATCTTTTTCTTCTTGCCACCGCCGTCGCCGCCTCGCCCACCTGCAATGGTAATGGCTATGGGGTTTTTGCTCGAGTCCACGCGGTAGCCATCCTTCCTGAGCCCCTCGGCGAGCAGCTCAATGACCCGTGGCATGTTGTTGGCGTATATGGGTAGGCCGGGAAGCTGCAGCGGGACCAAGTAGTTCACCTGAGTGCCCCCCTGGGATGCCGCCGCCTTGATGGCAATGTCACACTTGACGCGTATTTTGGCCGCGATGCTCGCCCAGGCGCGGTCGGCCTGATCCACGAGCGAGCGTGCACGCACCGCATCAAATCGCGGGGTGGGACGCTTGACCGCATGGAGGGCGGGTTTCATCTTCAATGTTATGACGCTATATATTTATGCATTTGCATTCGAAACAAACACACCACTTAGGGCACTTCGATGGGACTCAGTGCAGCCTCCTCGTCAGCCGTGGATGATTCATCACCCAGTGCTTCGACATTGGCCGAGCCTTCACTGTTTGCCTTTGTGGCCCTACAGTAGTTTGTGGCAATCTTGGCAAAGAACTCGGCCATCTTTTGCGGCTGAATGGAGGTCTCTGCCGCCAGGGGCTCAGCTTCCACCGCCGCCTCTGCTTCAGCGGTGGCACTGGGGCGGTGGCGCTCAACTTCAACCTCCTTGGCAGCAGCATAACCGAGCAGGGTAACCTGCCTCAGCACGTCCTCGACAAAGGCCTTGACCGCGGCGCTCTTGACATCGGTCGTGTCGTACAGTACGTGGATGGCGAGCACCGATCGGAAGTGAATGCTTATGTTCTTCAACATAGCGCTCGTGTTCTGGACAGATTCATTGTCGACGAGACCAAAGCTGCGACCAATGACACGTCGAACAGCCTGGAAGGCGGCCCTGGCGAGAGTCGAGATGACCAACCCCTCGGCGTCACCGGGCATGTTGTCGGGGACGTCAGTGATATCGGCAAACCCGCCGTCGACGACGCTCTTCTCCATGGCCTGTACCCATCTTTTGGCGACATATGTGTTTGCATACTCTGCCAGTTTCTCGGCATCGAGTTCGAGTCCTTCAGCTAGAGCGTTAAACACCTCCGGCACATTGGCATCGCTGTTGACGCTCCACGTTTTCAGTCTTGTAATGGTCAGGCGGGGCTGAGAATTGATCAGTGATCGTCTTGGCGAGCTTGGAGGCAGCCTCAGGATCGCTCTGGCAGCTGGCCCCGAGAAGCTGCCTCAAGTGCTGGCTGATCTGCGTTGCAGTCATACGCGCGTTGGAATCAAACACCTTGGTCCGGTTGAAGGTGATGGTCTCGAGCGCGGTCGAGTGAGCCATGTTGAAGCTGTCACGCAGGATGTTGGTGTATGGATCAAGGACGCTTTCGTGTAGATCGTGGGCGCTGCCTGTCTTCTCAACCACCTGGTCGAGGAACTTCTTCATGGGCTCGGCATCACGCGTAGTAGGCTGAGACACTCCGAACCACTGGGACAGTGCCTTCAGATAGGACACTACCATAGCTCCGCCGATAAATGTCAAACTCTCGTTGTAGTTGTTATATGTGATCATGCTGTCGATGTCCTCAATGTCTTTGGAGATTGCCCAATCCCCTACATAGTCAGCTGCAGCGGACTTGGGTACCAGCGTCGTCCTCGTCGCAGGCGGTGCGACAGGGGCGGTGGGCGCTACGGGGGGCTCCTGGTTGAACTCCTCTTCGGTTACATTGCTTATGGTAGTGCCGTCGGAGAAGGTCTGTGTACCGCCTGGGCTCGTTGTGTAGCTTCTCATGTCATTGACCTTCTCTGCGGTGGTTGTGGAAGGACCTTCCTCTTCCCTGGCGTCGGTGAAGGTGTGGGTGGCGGTGGGCGCTACGGGGGGCTCCTGGTTTATCTCCTCTTCGATTACATTGCTTATGGTAGTGCTGTTGGAGAAGGTCTGTGTACCGCCTGGGCTCGTTGTGTAGCTTCTCACGTCATTGACCTTCGCTGCGGTGGTCGTGGAAGGACCTTTCTCTTCCCTGGCGTCGGTGAAGGTGTGGGTGGCGGTGGGCGCCACGGGGGGCTCCTGGTTGATCTCCTCTTTGGCAGTGGACGTGGAAGGCATTGATGGGGCAGCAGCAGCACCAGTAGAGGTTTCCTTCAAAACGTTGTACATGGCCTTGAATGCCTCCTCATGAAGAGATCCCATGCTGTAGGCCTTGGCAATATCATTGATCTTGCCTGGAATTTGCACCAGAGTATTTTTGATCTCATCCAACATGGGTGTGATGGACCTGCTCATGCTGATGATGATGGCCTGCGGGAGTGAAGCTGACTGGGTGACAATGTCCAAGTTGTCATGTCTGGCTTTGTCAGCCTGTGCCAATTCAATGAGTCTATCCTGGAGCTCTTCATCTTCATTTTGATAGGGGAGCACTTCCAGACCTCCTGGCTGCTGTCTGATCCACTGCATCAGCTGCTGTTTGTGGCTTTCAACAGACTTGCCCTCCTGTCGGATGGGCATACCGTCGACGAGGAGCCTGTGCTTATGCCGCCACTTGCGGAAGGCAATGAGATCTCCTGTGGAGGCGGCATGTTCATAGCCCTCAGGATCAAGAGTGCAGGGAGGTAAGAATGCGCTCAACAAGATCCTTGGTCAACACAAGGGGCTTGTGATTGGGGCCAAACACGATCTTACTCTGTTCAGAAGAGCTCACAAGCCAATCAAGATTGCCGCTGATCTCCTTGGCCTCACCAAGGAGTTTCCCCACAGCAGACATGGTCACTGAGCGCACACTGTCTGCTCCCAGCGAGTCAACGTCTTTCTTAAGCTCACCCAGTAGCTTCTTGATTTCCAACAGGGACTCATCCACTGATGCCACCACAACCGCTTGCTGGGACTCATCATTGTGAGGAGGAGTAGCATTCCTCCTCTTTGGCGTTGTCTTCTTCTTCTTCTTGGCAGGTTCAATTGGATCTTCAGGGATGGTCTTGCGGTAGGAAACCTTGTCAGTGACTGTAGTCCTCCTGCAGTGCCCCTGGATCTCACTGTCACTGCCACTGTTGCTGCCGCTGCTGCTGCTCACTTCATTCTCCATGGCGTCCTCAGGAATCTTCTTCCTGTAGGACATGTGTTGGGTCATGGGGGTTCTTCTTGGCATTGTCTCTCTCATTTGGGGGGGGGAGTGGATGTGAACAAGAGAGAGTGGAAATTTGTTTATTGGGGGGTCACATTTTAACCAACGGTGTCTGGACGCACACTCCTCAGGCACATACAATTCATGCTCACCGTATTGCACGTATGTGCTGGTGTTTTTATTGACTGGGCAGGACTCCCGGGTGCCTCGTCTCAAAGTCAGCAAAGTCATGCCATCACAATAAGCAACCCTGGGGTAGTGCTCTGGTAAATCCCCACAGATGTAATGCCTGAAGGCATCATTTGCCTTATCCAGCATCTCACCAGCCTTTTCATCAGCAACCTTTCACACCTTGAGAATTATCTCAACCCATTCCTCAAGTTCTTCAATCTCACCATGAATCTCTGGCAACAGATCCTCCAGGGGGATTGCCAAGCAGACTGTAGTTGTCATTGTCCGTTTAATGCTGTTCTTAGGGGGGTTTGTTGTTCTTGGATGGGGATGGGGTTTAAATGTCCAAATTATAGACACAAGAGAGCTCACATCACCATCTCTTTTTTATTTTTTACCCACAACTCACAACTTCAAAGAAGAGCAGAATGTTCCTCTGCAGATCAGGCGAGGCAACCAAGGCAAGAGGTTCATCGCCCAGAGGGTAGGGCACCATGGCATTGCCAAATCTTATCCACAGCAAGATGTCCATCTGGGCAAACAACTGCAGCAGCTTGGGGAACTGCTTGATCACCCACATGCCCTCTGGACGCCACCAAACATACAGTGCTCCATCAAAGAGAGCATCAGCAATGTAGACATGGGTGAATGCACCATCAAAGACATTGCAACAGGTGGGGTTATCAAAGTCATCAGCCAGCATGGCTTCACATTGCTTGAGGAGCAGGAGCTCATCACACTTGATCACCACATAGGGTTCTGTCACCATGCTGGGCACCAGTATGATTGCTTCCAAGAGCTCCACTGAGTAGACGTCATTGAAATTTGTGGGCAATCACAATCTGAATGAGTTGGCCAACTTGTACTGAGCTCTGTTGCAATCCTGACTGTCTACAATCACAAACATAGAAGGTATCACAGATACAAAAGGGTTCTTGGCCTTGCTGTCATCGCCCATGTCAGTGGAGTCACAATCAGTGGTCTCCTGCACAACCTGGCGACTGCTGAGGACTGGAATGGGGTTGACTGGATCTTGGGGTAGGGTCTGTTGCTGCAGCGGCTGTGTGACAAGTTCCTGGAAGGACATGAACTCCCCTCCTTGGGAACTGGTACCTGGCATGGCCATGGTACCAGCACTGGGTGCCTTCTTGTAACTACCTCTGTAGGCCTTCATATGTGTGTACATGCTGTAGTTTGCTAAACACAATACTTGGTTGACAGAAGAACCAACATTGCGTATATCCACACTCAATCCATACAACAAACGTCACCATAAGACCTTCTTTCCTGGGTGCCTTTGTTGTTAAATCGAACCACCATGAAGCTTCACACTATCCCACACGGCCATCAATGTGCTACTTGGTGCCAAGAGAGACCCAATCATTGTAGGCAAGGACATGAATGACCCTCCCCCTCCAAGGCTGGTCAGCGTGTTGGTGAATCAACATGTACCCAATGCTGTAATGGACATTGGGAGGCGTCCTTACATGGAGGATGCCTGCGCATTGGGCCAATGGACCAGCAGCAGCAGTCGCTGACACAACATTGCTGGGGTGTTTGACAGGCATGGTGGCTTGGCCACTGTCACCAGAGTCACTCAGGAGCTCTTTGACATGGTGGTGCTGGAATTGGAAACTATAGAAAGGTTCCCAGAGGATATCAGAACTCTGCCAGAAGAGGCGCACTGCATGACCAAGGCACTGACTTGCGGCTTCTGGCAGATGCAAAGGGCACTCAAATCTGATTCAGGTAACCAGAGCGCAGACATGGGCACCACAGCTTCACTGGTTCTCTGGGAGGAAGGCAACCCCACGATCTGGACAGCATGGGCAGGAGACAGCCCAGCCTACTTGATGATGTGCAATAGGGATGGAGCTTCAGACTGGGCGCTCACCAAATTGACCATGGTGGACCACCACGCCTGTCAGGATTCAATGCCACAATTTGAACATGAGCGCATCAAGGTTGTCAGTGGGTCTTTTGACCCAGACAATGGTTGATTGCTGGGTCCCCACTGGCTGATTGGGTCTATTGCCATTACACGCTCCCTTGGTGATCTTATGTTCTACCCGCTGCCACACTACAATGGAACTGCCAGCAGTACTGAAGATTACATCAGGTGAACAGGTGATGTGCACATGCCCAGTCATTATTGGGTGACCCCGACGCCAATGGTCAGCTGTCTTGACACCTCAGTGTTTGGCAACAGCAACAAGCTTCTTGTCATGATGACAGATGGAGTGTCCAATGGGCTGAGTGAGGATCAAGTGTGTGTGCTGATCAACAAACACCATGACAGTCTTCCAGAACTGAGCAAAGCCATGATCAAAACCTCAACAAAACTGTGTTGCCAATTGTATTACCTTAATACAATCAACAATCACTTGGTTGGCACACAGGAACGAAGGGTTGTGGGATCAGATAGATAGGCATTCAGTGAGGCGTACCTGCCAATGTGACACACGGTCACTTCCTGCTGCTGACCAATGATGCCTGGTGTGAAGTGGAAGATCTGGGGCCAACTGGGCAGGGCATCCCCATTGGTGAGGTCAGCATACTGCTTCTTGGCATTGCTGAACTCAGGCTCGCTGCCTTGCCTGACCCACTTTACTCACATTTTACATCCAAGACCCACAAGGTGCTGCACCGCAGCTTCAGAGTAGGGGCAGCCCATCAGTGCCAACACCATAAAGTAGCTGCCATTGGTGTCATCATCAACCACCTTGCCAATGGCCTCCATTGACAGCAGATGGCATTTAGCCTCCATGAGGTACTGATGCTGCTAGCACTTCAATGAGATGCAAATCGTCTGCTGGCTCTATGATGCACAGACACTTTCATTCAGTGTCCACACAGACAAGAACAGGCCACTCTGCTCCCTCTGCCTGCAGAGCCACGCCAAAGGTCTTCTCATAGATGTGGTTTGAGCTTTGGTCATGCTGCCACACATAGTAGACAGGTGCTCCAGTGTGAGCAATGGCCCAGAGATACTTGGCCATCTTAGCTTCGCTGTGAATGCCAAAGAGGATGTAGTATTGCTTCATCACATGCACGTTTATTGTTGCTTGGGTGCACTGATGCTAGATAATTTGACGCTCCTAGCATAGGGGAGATAATTGGATATTGAATGAGACACTGCCAAGGATGGCTGTGGAGACCTAAAGTACATAAAGTCTCCAACATGCTCATAGAGCAGAGTTGATGCCACTCCACAGGGCAGTGGAGAGGTCAGTACCATGTCATCTTCACTGTAGTACTGCATCAGTGTTGGTATCTTGTTGTGATGTACCTTTTCAACATGTGCCACAAAGGTCTGATTGCCCACGTGCGGTGCCCCAAATGTGTTCATGTGTATGTTACCTGACACAAGTGGCACTCTGGCTGTGGTCTTACCAGTGAGATCCAGTGCAGCCAGCACAGCGAGAGTGCCACCCAGGCTATGACCAGCAATGAACAGGGTCTCCAGTTGTGTGTTGGCCATGGCCTCATGAAGGCTCCTACTGATCCCACTCTCATTGTAGGCCTTGTCAAATCCACAATGTATGCACAGTCCTTCATGATCACAATATGGCAGATCAACAAATTGGTAAGGGGTCTGTACAAAGACAGAATCAATGCCCCATTCCATCACACCTTGGGTGCTGTGGAACGCCAGATACCCAACAGAAGGGTCCATGTTTGAATGCCACAGTATTGCCAGAGGATTGACAACATCATAGGGGATAGAACCACACCACAATTTTGTGATGCCCATTGGAGCCCATCCACCATCCTCCACATTGTTGGTGATGTCATAGACATAGGATATCAGATTTGCCATGAACTCAATAGTGGGTTCCCTGGGAGTCTTGCCTGGATCAGTGGGACTTGGATTGGTGTGATCACACACTTTCAGGGTTAAACAGTTATTTATTTACACGTTTTTTAAACATATTAACACTATGCCGGGCAACAAGCTGCCGCGGCCGAAGGAAAAACTAAGTACAAATGGAAAAGGGGGAAAAGGGGGAGAGAAAAAACAGGCCGGCAAAAACCAGGGCGAAAAAGAGCCGCCCCAGTAGGCCTTGGGAAGCCGGGGGCTCAAGCTGGCTGAGGCTCAGAACGGTCAGCGGGGCTCGACCTAGCCGCCTGTACAGCGCGCGACAATATGTCGTGGCGCGTGCAGTGGTAGGTGGTCGCCGTCGCCGTCGTCCTGGCCGTCCTGGCCGTCCTTGTCGTGTGGCTTAGTTGCCGCCGACGATGAGGGCGGCGCAGGCGCCCCAGGCGTAGGAGAGGCGGGCCGTGCCTCGAACGGTGGCCACAGCGAGGCGCAGACATGCCTTGGCCTGTTTGGCCACCGTCGTGTCGCCCATGGCGCGCTTGAGGAAGGCCTTGGCCGGCCTCGAGAGTACGCTGAAGGGCGACACGACGAACGGCACCACCTTGGCGATCGAGCCGTCGGCTACCGCAGGGCCGTATT